AACGCATGGTCCCAGCTGGCCCGATAGAAATTACCATCGAAGTGAATGGCCAAGGTGTCCCCCATCGAAGTGAATGGCCAAGGTGTCCCCCATCGAAGTGAATGGTTGTGCGCTGGGCCAAGTTGTCCCTCATAGAAGTGAATGGTTGGGTGCTGGGCCAAGCCGTCCCCTATCGAAGTGATTGGCCAAGGGCTGGGCCTAGCTGTCCCTATAGAAATTAATGGACAAGGCCTGGGCCCAGCTGTCCCCCATAGAAGTGGTAAAGCACCCTGTAAATGATTTAGAAGGTGACCATGGAAACGTGTAAAGTAAAAATAAAACGTCAGGTTAGTGTTTAAGCACAACGTCCACCGACTTTCCTGCAGAAGTCGCCGCCTTCATATTTCTACTCTCACCTCAGTCACTTCAGCTCCCTCTAGTGACTACTCGGCGCATTGAACCAATCAGGAAAAAAAAACCGTCCCTAGCCACCTCCAACATGGCCGACGGCTGCAGATAAAGTACACTTCTGCCACACGTAAGATGGCGGCCGGCGTGCGTGACTTCCTGTTTACGGAGAGCCGACGGGTCCAAACATGTTCCATAGCAATGGCGGCCGATCAGGATTCTGAGCTGCCTAACTTGTCGGAGCTGCTGGAGAAGGGATGGCTGATCCTGGAAGAGGTGGAGGGGGCCTCCGGAGCGATGGGGGCCCGGGAGGTGCAGGACAAGGTGAAGAGAGGTCTGGGGATGCTGGAGCAGGCCACACGGATGGTCACCCAGCTGGATCTGTTCAGGTAATGGAGGGATTCGGTTGGTCACCTAACTGATCTTAGGGGGTGACAGTCCTGGATCCAAGACTGGGGACGTATAGCTTTGTGTTTCTAGCATAATGTCCTGTATTTATTAAGGGTGACAGCGCTCTGTCCTTGTTCAGGCACTTCCTGTTATAATGTGACAACGCTCTGTCCTTGCTCAGGCACTTCCTGTTATAGGGTGACAACGCTCTGTCCTTGTTCAGGCACTTCCTGTTATAGGGTGACAATGCTCTGTCCCTGTCTCCTTATTTTTCTCCTCTGTTGTCACCCTGTCACATGGGCTTCAGATGGAGACTACAAGTGGCCATTTCCCCACACATGACACAGGCATGGTCCACTGTTGTCACCATCAGGAAAACCACCCTGAGAAATGCCATGCAGCCATCACTGGAGTGCATGTAGATATGAAGTGGCAGCAAATAGTCTGCAGGAGATCCAGCAGTACTGAGAAGGAATTGTTATAATGCACCAAGCAGACTACATGTCATCCAGTTGGGGTGTACACACTCCTGGCATGCTAAAGTGGTCCCCTGGGTGACTGGTTTGGTTTTTGGCTGTGACTCTCACATGTTCCTTCTTGTTTCCTGTCTCAGTGGTAATGAGGATCTGGAGGAGATCCCCTCGGCAGACGTTCGCTTCCTCCTCCTCCCGGCCCTCCTCGGGGCCCTCACCCTCAAGCAGACGGACCTCAGTAAAAGGTTGCAGCACCTGGAGATCGCCCGCGTCTACTTCATGGACTTCTTAAAGAGATGCCGCAGCTACAAAGTGTCCAACGTAACCCTTCCCCCGGAACACGGGGAGGCGGGGCAAGAGACGCCCAACGTACGTCCGGCCCCGTCCAACCTGACCGCCATGGCAGTGCAGAGGCAGGCCAAGATCGAGAGGTAAGGGAAGACGACTCAAACCAATCGAATGTCATCTATGGGAGCCCAACCCTCGGAGAGGAACCATCATCGTATTGTGATGTCATGGTGGGCGGGACAAACCAGTAGGGTGACAATGCTCTGTCCTGACTTGTCAATCTTGGTATGATGTCATGGTGGGCGGGACAAACCAGGAGTCTCCTGACCTGTCAGTCAAGGTATGATGTCATGGTGGGCGGGACAAACTAGGAGTCTCCTGACCTGTCAGTCAAGGTGGGCGGGACAAACCAGCAGTCTCCTGACCTGTCAGTCAAGGTCATGGTGGGCGGGACAAACGAGGAGTCTCCTGACCTGTCAATCTTGGTATGATGTCATGGTGGGCATGACAAACTAGGAGTCTCCTGACCTGTCAGTCAACACATGATGTCATGGTGCGCAGGGCACACCAGCAGTCTCCTGATCTGTTAGTCAAGGTATGATGTCATGGTGCGCAGGGCAAACCAGGAGTCTCCTGACCTGTCAGTCAACACATGATGTCATGGTGCGCAGGGCACACCAGCAGTCTCCTGATCTGTTAGTCAAGGTATGATGTCATGGTGCGCAGGGCACACCAGCAGTCTCCTGATCTGTTAGTCAAGGTATGATGTCATGGTGCGCAGGGCAAACCAGGAGTCTCCTGACCTGTCAGTCAAGGTATGATGTCATGGTGGGCGGGACAAACTAGGAGTCTCCTGACCTGTCAGTCAAGGTGGGCGGGACAAACCAGCAGTCTCCTGACCTGTCAGTCAAGGTCATGGTGGGCGGGACAAACGAGGAGTCTCCTGACCTGTCAATCTTGGTATGATGTTATGGTGGGTGGGACAAACCAGGAGGCTCCTGACCTGTTAGTCAAGGTATGATGTCATGGTGCGCAGGGCAAACCAGAGTCTCCTGACCTGTTAGTCAAGGTATGATGTCATGGTGCGCAGGGCAAACCAGGAGTCTCCTGACCTGTCAGACATGGTATGATGTCATGGTGCGCAGGGCAAACCAGGAGTCTCCTGACCTGTCAGACATGGTATGATGTCATGGTGCGCAGGGCAAACCAGAGTCTCCTGACCTGTCGATATTTAATGAAGCCCAATCTCCTGTTGAAGGTACAAGCAGAGGAAGACTCTGGAGGGCAAGCTGTCGGCCATGAAGGAGGCGGTAAAGAGCGGCAGTGCGGACGAAGAGCAGATCCGGGAGTTCTACCTCCTGCAGCTGCAGCACTGGGTGTGCATCGCCCTGGAGGAGTTGGAGAGCATCGACCAGGAGCTGCCCATGGTGAGGGCCCGGGAGATCATAAAGAAGGTGAGTCCGGGGGCCGCCGCCAATAGCACAGCGCCTCCCATCTCCGCCTGTGATTGGCTGTTGTGCCTGATGAGGCTGCTGTCATGATGACTCTATAATCACCTGTTCCGGTCCTTTAAGCACAGGCAATGTGGGGTGCATACTATTCACAGCATAGTAGCACAGTATGACAGACCTCCCCCCTACAGCACTGTGTTGCCGGCGATTCCCTCTTCGTTTTGGCGTCTTTGGCCTCTTGATTGGGAGGATGTCACTGAAATGCAGAAAGAGGAGGAGGCAGAGGTGGGGAGGAAGGGGTTAATGGGGGGAGGGGGGTAGATTCAATGTTTCTAAGGTTTCCTTAAAGTGATCTCGCGCCCAGATGTCACGTGTGTGTGAGTGAAATAGCAGCAATGTAACAATACGCCAATACGTTGTACCGACTGTCCGCAGGGGTCATTCTTGTGATACAAAGTGGCTCCCGGCTGTCATTTTGGCAGCCGCGTGTTACCGGAAGGAGCTTCGTCCGGCACGACTGACGTTTCTCTCCTTGTATCCCTGCAGGGCGGAGAGCTGTCGCAACCACGGCAACCGGCGAGGCCACCGATGAAGCCCTTCATACTGACCCGCGACGCCCTTCAGTCCAAGTACTTGTGGCTCTGTTTGTGTCCGTTTGTATACCGTGTGTGTATGTGTCTCCGCCGGGCACGCTCTGATCTATCGTTTCCCCGCAGGGTGTTCGGTGCCGGCTACCCGAGTCTTCCCACCATGACGGTAGATGATTGGTATGAACAGCACCTGAGTAAAGGAGTCCTTCCGGACCAAGGCGTGCACAGCAAACCGACAGGTACAACGACACAATGTGTACATAAGGCTCGGAACTGGGACAACTGGAGGGACACTCACCCCCGGGGGTACGGGAACCGCAAGAACATGGGCTGAACCGGGCCGGACCCAGTTTTGTGTAATAAAGTCCCATTGGGGGTGTACCCCTCATACCAGACTGGGGTGTTCCTGGCCATTGTTCTATTGCAGGTGGAAACATTGTGCGTGCCTTTTTATCTTGTACGCTAAAGTAGACTTGACTGCCATCATCCATCATTTTCTCCCTTTGAACCTTTTTATTGTTGGGATTTTTTTGTTAAATAAATTTAGAAGGAGATCCATCGCTGGTCACATTTCATCTCTTATTATGGCACCGACCACCACTGCCAATGTTCAATGGAAGCTGGAGGACACAAATACAAAGGGAGGCC